TGCAAATCCCACTGTAGCTAACAGCAAGGTGTAGGATAGTCAATCCAGTATATTTCTATACCCAAATTCATGCCCTCCCTCTAGGAGATTCTGGCTGCAAATCGAACCATGACAGGTGATGCCATGCCTCGAAACAGTGATTCACATTTATGTTATAGTATACTTGTATATGTATTGTATGTACTAGCTGTATTGTATGTTCTCTCTGTCTAGTATATATGTATGTTCTGTTTGTTTCTCATCATAGTATGTTCTCTTGTATAATGTATAGTATGTACTAGCTGTATTGTATTTTCTCTCTATCTAGTATGTATGTATGTTCTGTTTGTTTCTCATCATAGTATGTTCTGTTTCTCATAATAGTATGCTTGACTCATGTATGAACTGACTCTTTGTATGCTTCATTATACTAGAAGTAATGAATAGTATCTTCCTAAACTATACCTATTATGGTTTACTAATGTTTTACTTGAACTCTAATTGAAAAGACTCATTTATCTACTAAGTTATGCTTGTACTTTAACAACGGAGTTTTGTAAAACTATAAAGTAACATAACTTTAAAAGAGTTTTTGAGTTGTTTTGATCACTTATAAAAGACATAAGCAATATTTTGAAAGATGTTTATAACAAACAATTACACAATTATCATTGTGTTAAACTTGTATCCCCCCCTTAAAAGCATTTAAAACAGTTAAAAGATTTATTACGGGGTATGAACTCAGCTGATGTGGGTGATTCAACGAATACGCGTGTAAGGATGAGAAGTACCACGAATGAATTCCCGAGACACAACAAGTCCTAATTGACATATATTGGCATGAATATAGTGTTTATAAGCAACTATATGAAAGGAAACACCTTCCGGGACTAGGAAACACTTTAACCAAGTGTTGGAATCACATGTGATTAATCAAAGGAAAGTGGAATGGTACTACCATGAGTTTACTACCATGGGTTTACGGCCAAGGGAGTTTACGGTCGTAAACTCATGGTCAAACATGCATAAGTGTGGGTTTGAATGCTAGGGAAGCTTGATGGACTTTTGCTCTACACAAGGATGAGAAAGACCAACTCAATGGAGGCTTTTGATGAGTTTACGGCCCAAAGGAGTTTACAGCCGTAAACTCATGGTCATTATGCATTTGAGAGTAGTTTAAGGTCCTATTTCCATCAAGGAAGGG